CGCTGAGGCTAGCCAGAGAAGGCTACCTAGGCCCTCATTCAAGGCTGCCTGCCATCAGCTGGGGCGAGGGCCACTCAGAAATTTACTGGCTGGATCGTGTTAGCATGAAAAAATGCAAAATAAACATAAAAACATTAACTTCAGACTTTGAAAGGGAGGGAGGGGAAAAACTGATAATGCAAAGAAAAGATAAGCAACAATTTCCATATATGTTTGTACAAGTGGTGGAAATAAAGAGAACCTAATACTGAAAGCTGTTTTATGAAACACATGCTGCCCCTGACTAAAAACAGCCCCCACTTTGTGAATAAGCTGTACTTAAAAAGTGAATGGCAGGCAAGTCCTCATGAAGGCTCATGGGAGAAACTGCCCTTTGTTCTCCAATTGTGAACACCCATGCTGGTTGGTTGAGATGGATCCACGGGCTTATTAAGACCGATCTATAGAGATCGCTATCCCTCCCCAGAGGAAGCTCATGCATCCTTGATACTGAGAGAAGATGGGCTCCTTAGCTGGAACCTCAAAAATATTTTCCCATAAAAAATATAAAACGAACAGCTTAGGCATGGCTGAAAAAAGACACCAGAACTAGAAGCCAGTGATATCCTCTTTGCTGGCATTCAGACTCCGTTACCTTCCTCCCTCTCACTTCCATCTAATACATGCTACACATTTTCCTGCCCCTAGAATTTTTCTAAAGGATGCTCTTGATTTATTTCACAAATATTAACCAAATGGCTACCATGCTGGCATTGTTCTAGACAGTCCATTTGCAGATTGAAAATACAACCACCACACAGAAATCTTGCACAAGGATCCTACTGTCTAGATGAGACAGGCAAGTAATAACTCAATTACCATATAAGCCAAAGGTGCTATGATGGAGATATAGAGAAGGGGCTACAGGCATAGTAAGGGGGATGGACACTAACCCCAAGATGGCCTTTTTCTTTCTTTCTTTTCTTTTAGATTTTCTTTCTTTATTCATGAGACACACACACACACACAGAGAGAGAGAGAGAGAGAGAGAGAGAGACATAGGCAGAGGGAGAAGCAGGCTCCTGGCAGGGAGCCTGATGTGGGACTTGATCCCAGGACCTTGGGATCCTGGGCTGAAAGCAGATGCTCAACCACTGAGCCACCCAGGCGTCTCAAAATGGCCTTTTGCCATCCATTGAAATTCTACTTGTACCTTCTGTCCTCCATCATGTCCCCTCTCCTTAGAATGGCCTACACTTCCTTTGTACCACCATAGCCCTTCACTTATTCCTAAAAAATTCATTTCCTTCTCTCTTTGCAAGATAATGTTCACTGAATAAATTTTAAAAAATGAAAGATGATACAGATGTGAGGTTTGGGAGCTGATTTAGGAAAGTAATCATGATTTATAACCTATTTATAGAAAAAAATTACACTCTAAGTTCAAACCATTAATTTCTTAAGAAACTTTTGGAATGTAATTTATCCAGACTGCCCATCCTAGCCTTTGTTCCTTAGACAATGGGCTACCAAAAATACAACCTGCATCTACAGAGACCAATGCATGAGACAATGGAAATGTTTCAAGTAGTGCAAATGTGAAGTGAAAATTCTTCTTACGGTTATGTAACTTGCATATTAAAAAAAAAATCAGTGTTTCAGGGGAGGATTCTCACTGTATCCCAGCCGTGGTAAGATGGAAAGTGAAAGGCACACTTGGTCTTACGTATGAACACAGGGTTATGTTTGGTTGTATGCAGTACTTTATATAAAACTGCTTCATAAGGACCCTAAGTTGATCCATTATTATGATTATAATAATCAGATTAGGCTTCTCACAGTGGCAGATCTGGGAACACAGCTAGACCACAGGAGCTAACCCTTACTACCATGGTACCAAGTCTGACTGGCAACCCTCCAGGGGGAAAAGAAGGGCCAGGTGTGGTTTTTCTCTGCTGCTTTTCAGCCCTGAGGACACATGCCTGAGAACCCAGATCTTGGGTAGAGTAATCACCTACCAGTGAATCTGTAGAACCATGCTGGCTTCTGCTGGAAGGACTTGTACTGTTGCTTTTTCTTTCTTGTAAAGTCTGTATAACTTTTCTTTTTTTTTTTTTTTTAAAGATTTTTATTTATTCATGAAAGGCACATACACAGAGAGGGGGGGGGGGAGAGAGAAAGAGAGACAGAGAGACAGGCAGAGGCAGAGGGAGAAGCAGGCCCCATGCAGGGAGCCTGACGCGGGACCAGATCCCGGGACTCCAGGATCACGCCCTGGGCTAAAGGCAGGCGCTAAACTGCTGAGCCACCCAGGGAGCCTCTAACTTTTATTTCTTAATGTAATTTTACAATGGGCTAATTGTCTAAATATTGTAAACACAATATTTTCAATGTTTATCTTTTGTTATAATTTCAGCATACTTACCATTTTACCCTTTTATCAATACAATCAATTGTCATGCTATTGATTAGTCAGTGGTGAGCTAGTCTCACTATAAGGAGAGCTTAATTTTCAGTATTTTCACCAATGGTCGGGGCACAGTGGCCTTATTCTTCATGTACTAGCCACAGAGAGATGTCTGAATTAGAATTAAAGCTTAAAAGGTGGCAGATAGTGTATTCTGGTTAGGTTTAATTAGATGTTAATATTTTGGAAAGAAAAAAGATATAATCCAAATGTAAGACAGAAATAATTATTTAAGCTCACATATGATGAAAACCAATAGGATTTCTAATGATTCCTACCTTTAAATATGATTAGAAAGAGAACATGCTCTCAGTTGGGGAGAATATTGAGGACTATGATGGCAAAATCTGAAAACTGATACTCAGGTTCCCTGAATTGATGAGCAATTATTTGTATTGTGTATAGTTATAGCCCTTTATTTTAATAAGTATATTAAACTCTGGAAAAAAATGACAAAAAGACCAGAAAAGTCATATATATGAAAAAGAAATGGGACTTATGTACTATGAGAAAGTATTTCTAAAAAAAAAAAAAAAAAGAGAGAGAAAGTATTTCTAGTGGCAATTTAGTAACTATTTTTGACAGGAATCTTTAAAAATCCAGGATCTGGGGAAACAGCATGAGATCACGACATGCAGGCCAAGTTTTCAAAATTTTCTCTAGTAGTTGTTACCTACATGAAGAATCTAAGTCAGTGCGATGTTATTTGATAAAGTTATACAAAGCTCTGTCTGTGGATGGTCAGTACCTGTGGAACGATGACCAGCTCTTTGCTATAATCATGGAAAGTGAAGAAAGGGAAATGGGGGTGAGGTATAGATGCTTAGCAACCCAAGCAGAAGAGCTAGGGTATTTTGGAAGAAACACACAAATCAGATAACCAAGAATGGTTGGTTGAAAGAAACACACACAAGAAGTTTTTTCATCTAAATGTACTTAATGCAAAAAGCCTGTTCCTGTATTTTATATAAAACTTATGAAAATAGGCATGACCCTGTATTCCCTATGAGATGCCACTGTGGCTTTCTTTGGGTGGAAATTGTACAAGATCAACAGGGCTGTGGACAGAAAAAAATACTGAGTTATGAAGTGTTTCCTAAACTTCACAGAGACTTGTGACCCACTGTCATAATTTTTAGTATTTTCTCTAATCCAACTCTCTTTCCTCCTCAGATACATTTAGTTTAAAAAGAAACCTATCCTAAGCAAAACTGTGAAATCTTAGGTTATACTTTCTCTAGTACATCTTAAAATAAACACAATAACTTGTAAAAAGGTTCCTCATATACCACTTGAGATCATTTCACGTCCATGTTGTACTACACAAATTCATATTTTGAGAAATATTGGGATTAGGATTCTGGCTAAGTGCTGACATAGAAGACATTTGGCCATGGCCTCTCATATTATCCAGTCTGAAACACAGGGAAAGGACTGTGTGTTACTTCCTCGTGGTTGTGGGGCAGGGGTGGAATGGGGTGGGGAGTGAAGCAGCAAAAGGTGGTAAAGTGTTGGTAGACATGAAGTGTTAATTCTTGATCGGCAACAACATCATTTTCTTTTCTGGGGCTAGTGAGAATCAGTGGATAAACTTTTACAAGGTGCACAGAACTTTGCAAGTGTCTACTGTAGCTATCAGTCCCTTGGAGGGAAGTAAACAACTGAGGAGGAGGCATCCAGCCTGGGAGGCCGACCGAGTACAGGTTTGTGGGTGGCCTAAGGGGGTCCTGTTGGCATCTTCTAGCCTGTATGCTGACAGGCTACCTCCTCTGTGTGTAGCCCAGGACTCCAGATGCTGTAGTAAGGTGGCACCAGTTTGGTGAGGGTGGGAATGTGAAAATTCTCATATCAAGGATGCACAGATGTCAGAACTCCCCCATTCCTGCTACTGGCACAGGGCTGCCTCTGGGGCCGCCACATGAGATCATCTGAGTTGGACTCTCCAGGGACTCAGCTGGGCGGCGCCTCTACAGCTTTTGTCAGAGGCTTATTTTTCTTGCAAAAAAGGAGAGAAAAACCTGACTCCCCAAATGAAGGGGACTTTCTGTAACCCTCCCGCCATTTCTCTCTCACCTCTATAGTGTAGCTGAGCTCTTAGAAAACCAGTGTTAAAGCACTTCAGCAAGAAGCCAGGCCACTGAGAGCCCCCTTCTACCAGCTGTTAATGGTTGTCGATGAAAAAGGCAGACACAGGGCTGCAACGAACGGAGCCAAAAATAACTCGACAGCAGTATTTTCCAGGATTCAATCATTTCTGGTGCTGGAAAGAGGGAGCTTGAGGAACTGAAGTACAGCTCTATGACCACAGTGGAGAGCTGGAGGGACGAAGGCCATCATGGGCTGATGCTCGTATAACCTAGTCCTCGTGTAGCAGGACCTGTAAGGGCTTTCTCAGGAACCCATATCTGAGAAAGACTAAAACAGGAAAACGGAAAGGCAAGGGAAGGAGGACTGATGTTGGAAGGGAACTGACCTCAGTCCCCCTGCATTTTAACTCCGGGGCCATGCACTGGGGGAGCTCTGTGAGGCTGGCTCTTCTTGGCGAGTGTATGTGTTTGATATGGTACACTGTAGGAATTTGTGTGTTGTCCTTACACAGGGCCATACTAATCTTCTCTGTACTTTCCAGTTTTCGGGTATGTGCTGCGGAAGCGAGCACTTCTTGATGTGTGTTTTTAATCTGTGTTTCATTCTGTGGGATTTACAAACCCATCCCATGATCAAGACATGGGATGTGCTAAGGAGACATATTTCTCCTTAGAAACCCTGCCCTTGACTCCTAGCCTGAATGGGGTTGCCTCCCTACTCCCTTTCCACTCAACAGGATCGCTCTTTAATAGAGATTTGTAGCGGCTCAGGAACTCAAAGTTTTTGTTTTTCTAACATCCTGCCTCCATTTCTGCTCTTAAATCATATATCAATCTTATCAGCCATTTCCCCAAGAATTGTAGTTACATTATTGTTTTTTTGGTTTTCTTTTCTTTTTTTTTGAAGATTTTGTTTTTGAGTAATCCCTATACCCAACACGGGGCTCAAACTCACAACCCTGAGATCAAGAACTGCTTGCTCCACTGACTGGGCCAGCCAGACGCCCTATGGTTTTCTTTTCATTTTTACAATGTATACACATAATAGAGGAGTCTTTTCCCTGGTATTTTCACTGTCATTCAATTCAGATGTGCATGTGGCACTCTTTCTACCCGCTCTCTGAAAGTTTTGATACTCCTCGAGAGTAAAACTAGTAAGCCTCTGAACAGCACTTCCATTTAAACTATATACTTGATCTTTCTGGGCTTGGCAAACCATCACCCACTCAGAACCTAGACAGGGAAGTGGGAGATGATTCAAGCTTCATTAGGAACAAGTCATGCCAAAATAACTTCATTTCTGGTTTTGATAGGATTACTGCTCAGAGAATGCAGTAGAAATAGCATCCCAGGATTTCAGCAAGGCAGCTGATATCTCTTAGGCCACTCTTTGAATAATATGAAAAAAAATGGGGTCTGGAAGATAGTAAAATTAAATGACCAGTAGCTGGATGATGGATCAATGTCAACGTCAACCTGAAGGAAAGTGTCTGGTGACGTGACCCAGGCTTCTGTTGTCTGCTCTGCCGTTTAAGTTCTATACCTGACTAGGAAAAGATGTGAGTGGCAAACCGCTCAGATACTTCAGGAAAGACAATCAAGATTCCAAACAATGACCACAGACTAATATTATGGAGTAAAGTATAAAGATTCACTTTAACAAAAATAGAAATTAAATTCTCTATGGGGATTAAAAAAGTGAACTTTAAAAGGACAGGATGTTAAAGTGCTGGCTTAACAAGGTGAGTCACTACAGTGACACAGATGCCAGGAAACTTAATGCAATCCTGGGCTACAGCAAGAGATGCATAATGCAGGGACAGGGTAATAACTTTACCCTTCAGATCACATCGAGACTCTAGCATTTAGTGCTGTATGTTAAGAGCAACAAGGATCATGATGCGCACTGAATCCATGTGATATACGGAACCAAGCTGTTAAATCCAGAGAAAGCAAGATTTACAGGGCCCACATAAGAGCTGCCTTTAGAGAGCTAATGGGCTATTACGAGAAGAAGAGATGAAATTTGTTCTCTTTCATTCCAGAGGGTATAAATAAGATCACAAATAAAACTGTAAGGGATGTAGATATCTGCTAAAAGTGAGGAAGGATTTTCTAGTAATCACTGATGACAAAATGGAGGCAGCTCTGGAGTGGTGGTGAGCTCCCCATTGCTGGAAGTGTTCCAGCAGAGGCTGGAGAGCTACCTCTATCATTTTAATAAAAGCATTCCAAACTGGATGGGAGATTGGACTAGATGATTTCTAACATGCCTTATTTTCTAACCTGTAATCCTTGACACTCCTTACCATTTTCCCACAATAATTAAGAGTAGTTATGGTTCTTAGTATTCCTTAAACACTTGATACAAAAATTGACAAGGAAGAAAGACAAGGTTGATAGTATTTTCATTTACTCTGGATACCACTGGCAAGATATGTGGAGTTGGCAAAACAAACAGCTTTCTTGAACTTCCCCAAGTCTCCTGTGAGTCTATGAATGACATATCCTTCAAGCTACTTTAGTTTGGAATGCTGGCCTGGTCCAACCAGTCTGCTGAGATCATGTACAATTTACAGGGAACACAGGGAGTCTTGATAGAATGTAATGGAAAGCAGTATTAACAAAAATAAAGAAGTCAGTGATTTCCTAAGTATGTAAGTTTTCAAAGGCCATCATACCTATTCAACAAAAATTCAACTGTATAGTTACAGAACCTTGAAATTAAACAAATGCAGACTTAGCAGACTGAGTTTCAAGACATTTATACAGGCATTATTTCCAGGCATGATTTTCCCTCACTGAACAAGTAAGCTCCTTCTATTTAGACCTGCCAGGGGAGCAAGTGTAGTCAATCACATGGACCTACAATTTTGTTTGAATGGATAGCAGCATGCCCCATCTTGTATTTTCCTGGGCTTGACAAAATAACAGCCACTTAATAATATCATGAAAGTCGTACACACCCTGCCATTCTATACACCTTGAAAATGGCAGGAGAAAATAGCCCGAAGCCTTTCCTCCTCAATAATCTCTTGGACAGGGTTTAGTACTGAACCAGGTAATCCTGAAATCTTTGCTAATGAGAGGAAAAGAAACCAGATGATCTGACCACAGGTAGAAGAGATGGAGGACACAAGGCAATGAAAGCAGTGAAATGAGGTAACTCTAAAACATGGAAGTCAGTACTGTGATTTACTCATGGTTGATACTTACGGTAGATATCTCTATTTTATCAAGAATGGTCAGAACTTATGAGAGAACACAGCTCTGTACCAGCAACCTGAGGCCAAGGCAAAAGAGATGCTCAGGCAATGATGGGGCCAACTAGGTTCCTGGAGATCACCCATCCTAGCTCCTGTGTAGCCATCTGTTTCCTGTGCTAGTGCTTAGGACTCGAATCTGGGTTGGAATTTTTTGGGCAGGTTTCCCAGGTCTGTGACCTTGCTATCTCATTAATGATTCTAACTCAAACTCTAGACACAAAGTTGAGATGAACAATTGAACTAGGGCTTCCTATTGTGGAGCTGGCAGTGGAGGGACCTTCTCTTGACACTGGCCTTTGATCACAGATGGCCATGCTGGTACAGAGCCTGCCCCTCTAAGTTCTATTAAGACAGAACAGGAAGAAAGCCTTGGATGCTAAGATGATCATGCTCTTTCAGAAATCTTTAACTCAAAGCAAGTTACAATTTCAAATAATATCATACATTTTTTTTCTCCAAAAAGGATTGAAGTAAATCCTAAGATCCAAAAATAACCTTCTAATACAGACTGAGGAACCCACAGGGGCCAGACTCTATAGGACCCAGGGAATTATACAATTCAATACCTGGTTAGAAAAGGGGCCCAAGTGTGTATGAAGCATAAAAGAGGCTGAATTTCAGTTTTGGACCAAGAGGCAATTGTATTTGAAGTAAGTAACAGTAGGAGCTGAAATAGAAATTTGTGCCAAGTAGAGCTGCCCTAGACTGCTGCTTGACATTAAGCCTAGCAGAGGACTACCCAGTGGGCATGCTGGGTATCTTAAGGGTGACTCTGAAGCCTTTTCTTATCATGAATGGTGATGATGACCATGAATGGAAGACCCCTGTGCCATGTACCAGGTACTCACTCCCATCCTGCAGAGCAGATATATTATCCCCGGGAGCTAGGCTCAGGGTTTTAGGAACTTACCCAGCACTAAACTGGTTGGTGTGGGAGGTGTTGCTTCCAAGAGGCTACTCTCTCTACTTATCTTGCTACCTACTGAAATCCAAGCTCTTAAATAAGAACTACTCCTGGCCAGAGAGCAGGAGTTGCCTGAGATAAATAAAAAGAGTGATTCTGGGGCTAGGTATCCTGGATTTTCCAGTAATCGGTTATGTGAGCCTGAGTATGTCATACTGCTCCTTGGTCTTTCTTTATTTTTTTAATTATTTTTTAAAGATTCTATTTATTTATTTGACAGAGAGAGCGCGCGCATGAGAGCGCACACACAAATGGGGTACAGCAGGCAGAGGGAGAAGCAGGCTCCCTGATGAGGAGTGGGGCTTGACCTCCGGACCCTGGGATCATAACCAAGGCCAAAGGCAGACACTTAACTGACTGAGCCCCCCAGGCACTCCGTCCTTGGTCTTTCTTTAAAAGACAAAATTACATCAGGTCCCTTGTGCAGATGAACCCTTAGAGGAACTTAAAAATGTCTACAAAATGCTGGAGTATTTACACATAAGATATATAGGCACACACACCATATGTATGTGCATCCTGTAGAATCATGCGGAGGTGGTAATAGAAACATCTATGGTCATAACATAAAAACCTTACCCCACGGGCTAACAGGCTCTGCCTGTTTGCTATGTCCTAAGGCGTTCAAGTTTTAGAACTCGTGTATTTTTCTTTCCATGGAAGTAATGCTGCTAATGTAGCTTTAAAAAAGCTGTGGTAAAAACCATGTACCTTAAAATTTACCATCATGGTCATTTTTAAGTGTATAGTTCTGTAGTGTGAAGTATATTCACACTGTTGTGAAACAGATCTCTGGGACTTTTTATCTTGAAAATCTGAAACTCCGTAACCATTAAGCAACCCCCTCTTCCTCCCCTTACCCCCCAGGCCCTGGTAACCACCAATCTATTTCTGTTTCTGTGAATCTGACTACTTTAGATACACCATATATGTGGACTCATACAGTATTTGTCTTTGTGGCTGGTTTATTTCACTAACATGACTTTTGAAATAAATCCAGGGAGATGGGAAGAAAAGGTCTGAAGAATGAGAGGGAGAGGGCGAATCCACCTCCCCTCTGCTTCTGGTGTTAGCTAGAAAGGATGGTCTCCTAGAGTGTCCTCTTGTGCTGGACCACAGTGGGTAGAATGTACTACAGCTGCAGAGAGAGGGTCCTCCAGGCAGAGTGGGTTCAAGGCCTACCATCTCCACCAACGAGTGTCTACGGAGGGCCCCATTTTAAGTACACTTTCTGAAGTCCACAGAACCTCAGCAATTTTTCAAGAATTCTCATGAAAAGCTCTCAGCATCTTCCTGGGGGAGGAAGAATCTGAATAAATAAGGCTTCATTATTTTAAGAGCA